GCAGCCGGTTCCACCGCGGTTCCGGCTCTGCACCAGCGGGACGGCGGCGCGGGTGTTAAACGCCGCCCTCCTCCTCTGCCACAGGGCTGGAGGCCCGCCCGGGAACCGTCGCCCACTGGTTGGGGGGAGGGTGGGGGTAGGGGGGTAGAGGATGGGGGTGGGGAGACCTGTTTCGAATTTGAACTGACGCTTGGCTGGCATGATCCTCAGCTCCAGGAGGGCGCGGCGGCCGCGGTCCCTGCCTCCGCGCCGTGGCGGGACAGAGGCCGGGTGAGGGTAGCTCCTGAGCAGGCCCCGCGGAAAGTTCTCATCCCGCCCTGGTTGTCTGGACTCCGGCCCTGACCTGCAGAGGCCAAGAGAGCCAACCTCCCGACCTGTCCGCGTTGCCAGACCCGAGTTCAAAAGAAAGGATAATCAATTGCGTTACTTGCCTGGTGGGAAAGGACTTGGCCAAGTCTCGCTTCTGGTGCCCACGACTCACGATCCAGGGTCCAAGGGTGGCTGGGCCCGCAGACTCGGCGTCCAGCGGGCCTCCGGTTCCCTGGCGCTCGCTTTTGCCTCCTCTTCCACTCGCTCCGTCTCTCTCCACGTTCTCTTTCTTTCTCCTTGTCTCCCTCTCTCTGCCTGCTTCCTCTGCCCTCGACTGCCTGCCTCTGTACTATATGGGGAGTAAAATTAAAATTTATATATAGAAAGCTTGTTCTCTTTTTCTTTCTTTTTTCAATCTTTTCTCTTTTTCTTTCTCTTACTTTTCTTTTCTTTTTTCTTTTAATCGTGTTCGTTTCCCCTTTTAATTGACCAGCAGACGTGAGAGCGTTTATTTGGGGAGGGGGCCGAGGGCAAGGAGCCCCTGCCTGCCCCAGTCGCCTCCTCTCCGTCAGCTGCGTACAATGGGCCGCCTCTTGCAGAGTGCATTAACTGTCTCTCCATTACTCGAGCTGGAGGGGCTGTGGGGCAGGCACGGAAAAGGCTTTATTCTGCTCTTTAAAGTCGTCTCTAGTCACTAAGCGGTCGCTGACTCCCGACTTGTAGGCTGGAGAGACCGGGAAGCGCAAAACGCACCCCAAACACGCAGCGCTTCCCAAACCCCTCCCTGGTGAAATTTAAAGTGAGAACGAGTATTAAAAAACAAACCCTACCTCTGTCAATACAGCGTGGCCATTTACACCCACCTTTACCTGAGGGCGTGTTGAGGATCGGGATGCTGGAGCTGAGACAAACTTTTACGCTCTCCCGAGTCGAGGGGCGGGCGGGCGAGCGCGGCTCCTACCCCCAGCGGCTGCCGCGGCGGCTTTGTCACTCCGCACAGCTCCGCACCCGCCTGAGCCTGCCTAGGGAGCGATCTCAAAACGAGGGGGGTGCAAGTGTGCTATTGGAGAATATGTAACTAATAGAAGTATCATTTTCCCCAGTACGATCTTTCAAGGAAAAAAATCCATTGAAAGAATTTTCAAAGTGCTGTCTCCGTTTGGAGAAAAGGCGCAGGCTGCCTGCGGGGAGGGGAGGAGAGACCCGGCTGTGCGCCTCCCGGGCGCGGCTCCCGTCCGCTAGGTGGCAGCCGGAGCCAGCGATTCCTGCAGGCCCCGCGGCGGGACCGCTCCTCCTGCCCGCCCCTCCTCCCACGACCAATCGCCTTCGGGAATCGGGGTCTCTCTCTCTCTCTCTCTCTCTCTCTCTCTCTCTCTCTCTCTCTCTC